CATAATACCAAAGTATGAAATAAAGAAGGTTAAATAATAAAGGTTTCATTATTTTAATTTTAATTTTCTACTTTTGTTTTTTTTGTTTGTTTGAGGAACTCAGTAGTAAACAATACAGTACAATGATAAAGGGATTCTTCAAAGAGAAACAGTAAGAGCAGAGTAAGCAGTGACGTATATAGGGGAGATAGAGAGGTCCAAATCCCATCAGAGAATCCCAGCCCAGAGTGTCCAGAGCAAGATTAGGCAGCATCACAGCAGCTACATACTCCATTGAATATATCGCCAGGATGACAGGTGGAATGATCTGTGGCTCTGTGTTGTCACATCACTCACCTCTTGCTTAATTCCTATCCAAAGTGGCAGCAAACAGGCCAGTTACACACTCATGACACCCTCCTATCCAACTGGCACTGAGATAAGTAACTGTTCATGGTGCACCCCTGACCCACAAACATGCACAATTGTGCCGTGATCGCTTTTTAGAGGTTGGTGGAGTGTAGATACATTTGAATGTATCAGTTGTTGCTATGTTCTTTTTATCATGTGGTCAATTTGTATATCTGCAGATATAGGATGATAATTTTACATTTTCAAAGAAAGAGAAAGAACCACACAGTCATGAGATATGCATCATGAGTAGTTTTGATATTCCTGATTTTCAGTGTGCTGGGACTTCTAATCCCACCGTCTACCTCTTTGACACAATCCTAGCTGTCACTTTTCTTTAATGATGGTACCAAAGGTCTTAAAATATACAAAAACATTTGGTAAGTTGTATATCATGATAGAGTAACATTTGCACAAAAGTTCATGGCATGGAATATCATGTCTTAATTTAGAACCTAAATATTGCTTTTTAAATAGCAAGGGTATAATTAGATTTTTCTACAGTTATGCAGAACATCAGTAATGCTGTGCTACTAAATCACTATGCCTGAAGAAAAACATTAATTCTTAATTTCTTTCTTTTTAAAGCAAACATATTAAATGCAAAACTATAATTAAAAGTGTGCTTCAACATATATTTTAATTCCTTATTGCCTCTTAGCAATATACACTTATTTTCAAGGTTTTTTTATAGTTAGATTAGACAAGTTAGGAAAACATGATTTGATATTTAATTTGGGAAATAAAAACAACATCTACTTTAATGTGTATACAAACCTTTCGCTTTATCTAATTAAATTATTTTTTTTTAAACTTTTTCTTAGATCTGGAGAAAGTGGTAACTTTGCAGCTCTTAAAATGGTGTATAGGTGTCCAAAAATGGGAAAAACTCTACTGTAAAACTTCAGGTCCACACTATGGACCTGATTTACTAAAAATATGCACATTTGCAGGTGCATCAATGCAAACCAGTTTGAACAACTTAAAACTGTGATAGGAAATATACAGTGGGTTCTCTTACACCAGTGGCTTGCTAAGCAGCACATGCTCCAGCATCCAAACATAGGCAAGTGGTAGCATACCCATATGCTTTGGCTCAGCTGAGCCATAGTGACAACCGAAGTGTGGAGAAATGTCAGCCGAAGCTGACCGATCTCCACACAAATGACAGCTGGGCGGAGCCAGCCGGAATCTCACGGCTCGCCCCACCCATTGGTAATGACAGATCGGCTTCCCCAAATGACCTGGGGATGCTGATCTGTCATTAAACAAGAACAACTGGGTGGAGCCGGCCATGATGTCATGGCTGGCTCCGCCCAGTTGTTATTTCTTGCCCGGGACCTGCTAGAATACTATATGTGAAACAGTTGGGCGGAGCTAGGGGTGATGTGACCGCTAGCTCTGCCCAAGTGTTTATATTTTGCCACCACCTGTAAGATTTGACATTATGCGGCGGGAATTCCTTGCATGTGGTCAGGTCGACGTGTGTCGTTTTTTCCCTTCAAAATATAATTTTTTTCATTTTCCTATTTTCTTTCCTTGTTTAAATACTTTTTCAACTTTTTTATTTGTTTAATTTTTTTTATATTCTGCTCACTAACCTGGAGGTAATGAGCAGAACAGCCGAGCCGAATGCCACTTGGCAGCATTCGGCTATTCACTTACTGCCATTCGGCCCCTATGAGAATAGGGACAAACAGCAGCGAGTGAGCTGCTGGCGCATTGGCTCAGCCAATCCAGATGTTGATCTCCAAACTCCTTCTGTGCTTCGGCTCAGCAGAACATGCAGAGCATGTTCGGCTGACCGAAGGCAGCCGATGCCTTCAGCAACTAAGTGAATAACCCCCTTAGTGTGCTAGACCAGTGTCTCTTAATGGAAGGCACGTATTTAACATTGCAACAATACAGAACTATAGCTTACATTTATAAATGTTTCAGGACCATGGAAAGTACATTTAACTTTTTTCTATTCTGCTCCCTACCCTGGCAACAGCTGAGCTTAATGCTGCTGGGCAGCATTTGGCTATTCACTTACTGCCATTCAGCCACTATGAGATTAGGGGCGGGCGGCAGCTAGTGAGCTGCCGGAGCTTTGGCTACGCTGATCCAGATGTTGGGTCGGCTGAGTCGAACTCCTTCTGCACTTCAGATCAGCCAAAGCTGCGGAGCATGTCAGCCGAAGGCAGCCGATGTAAGGCTGATTTTAGCCAATGTATGGCTGAAATCAGCCGTATAAGGCTGAAGGGAATTCTGGCTGCCTTCAGCAGCTAAGTGAATAACCCCATTAGTGTGCTAGACTAGTGTCTCTCAATGGAAGGCACACTTATTTTACATTGCAACAATACAGAAATATAGCTTACATTTATAAATGTGTCAGGACCATGGACAGTACCAATAAGTATATTGCTTCATGACTGACACTGCAGCAAGCTGCAGTAACATTGCAAGTTTGGAAACTACTAGTAACCTCACCTATACACAATTGTATTGTGGTGTACCATCCTGCACAATATGTTTTTCTAGAAAGAGCACACTCTAACCACTCTTCACTCTTGTGAAGCTGGATAAGGAATAAACTTAAAAAAGGTATAGTTTTTACTTTCTAGTATTGAGAATGACAATTGGAATAATAAATGCACTTGTTTTGCACATGCACACTTATTTAACAGAAAGTTCCATTTTTTTGCATTACTTTCAGATTATATCATAGCCTAGACATGTGCACTGCCAAAAAATTTGTTTAGTTTCGTTTCGTTTTAAATTTGGATTTGTGTTATTTCGTTTTTCGGGATTCGGGTGTGAAAGTCAATGCGGATTCGGAATTCGGATTCGGACGAAATTCATTAGCGGTAGTTTGTTCGAACGTTCGTTTCGTTTTCGTTTCTTATTCATTTCGTTCATCCGTTCATTCGTTTGCAGCAAAGTGACATTTGAGGGGGAAAATGTTTTTCTTCAACGGACGAAACGAATAAGAAACGAAACGAACGTTCGAACGAACTACCGCTACCGAATTTCGGAAACGGAAATTCGGATTCGTTTGTATTCGTTATATCTGTAATTCGGATACATACGAATGTCCGAATTTCCGAAAATTCGTCCGAATTTCGATTCGGAACGAAACGAATCGCACATTTCTATCATAGCCTATTGTAATTGTTTTCAAATTATTTTACACCCAAGCTAAAAGTTTCTACAACATCCAAACCACTTGATTTTTATGTCTAATGCCACATATTTTTATTGTTGAAAAAGGTATTAGCGATTGTTTTCCTATTCATTACTCAATTAGCAAATACTTATTTCCCGGAATTCACACTCAATTGCCTGCCTGGACCCATACAAATTATGTATAAGTGATAGTAAGCAATTGTAATTAACTTAGTCTTTTCCTTCAAATTTCAAAAGTGGTCAGTACCCATCTCTTATACAGAACATGCAAAAAAACTCACAGGGGTTTACAGCATTTAACTATGCAGTGACTTGGACTGACTAATAGCCTCTAAGGCATAGATGTGTTACCAAATAAAATAAAGTTTTTTCAGAGGCACTACACCACCAGTATTTACCCTTATTATTGCCGGCAAATTCCAAGATCTGCAAGTAATTAAACCAATAGAGAAGTAAATGACCGTACTTAAAAGAGAACTATGGGCTAACTGTTTTTCCCCATAGTTCTCTTTAGGGTCATGAGAGGACATACACTAATCTCCTCCCGTGACCCAAAGCTCAGTATATCGCGGGCTATTTCACACGATATACTGAGAGCACCACAGCTGGGACAGTTCCCAACAATACTGTCGAGATCCACTCAGCAGTGTGCGTGACAGCTAGCTCTGCCTATCTAGAGGCAGAGCCAGCTGTGCACACCCCTCCCCTGTTCATTCCTCCACTCAGTTCTGTAGTCCCGATACACTCCCTAGGGTAACAACACTGCTCCTCCATAAATAAAGTACAGTAACTGAATGTTTCCCCCTAGGAGAGGAAGTGTGTTAATAGCAGAATAACCAGTTGAAAAGGAAAAAGCTAAAAACGAGAAAACAAATGGAGCCACCTAATTTAAGGATTTGAAAGCTGCAATAAATTCAATTTTTGGGGAGGATTAATACACTTTAGTTCTAGGGAACATATGCCATCTTTAAAATTATGAATGCATTGCTCTCAGAATACCTTACTTCAAATTACATTACACAACAATTTGAATTATAGCTCCACCATATATTTACAGTATATCATTATAAGCCATAATGGGTAAATTCATCCAGCTAAAATGTTTTTTTGGGGAAATAAACATATCACTCAAATCAGCAGCAAGGTACACTGGCTGAAGTTTGTGGACCCTTTTCATCCTGCATTATAGCAGCCTATACTGCCAAACATTCTGAATTTTTTAAAATGCAAATTAAATGATTAGCAGCAGTTCAGCCTCTTTATCTCTCCTTGTTGTATAAGTGACATGAAAATTGGGTTTTGTTGTAAAATTTGACAATTGTTTGCCATTAATCAGATTTAAAAATAGTAACTCTGAAAGTAATTTAAGTTAGAATGTCTCACTCTTTGGTTTAACAAGGGAATAGCGGGCAAAAAAATAATATTAATAAAAGTAAACTTACATGATCCATGAGCTCACGAACCATCCCATTCCATTGTTGATTGGTATCATCTTTAGCTCCATATTTGCCATCCTCCACTAACCTAATTTCATATTTAAATCCAAGAATTTCAGATAATTTTTGAAGTAAGTCAATGCAATAGCCTTCAAATCTCTCCTTTCCATAAAGCGGTTTATCAGATTTCTTGAACATCACATAAGGTTCTTCCTATTAAATGAAATTTGTTTTTTTTTTATCATTTAGTAACTTTACTCAGAACTCTGTTACTTCAATAACACATTCTGACCACCAAAGTATCTTTAGAAAGGCTGTAAAGAAAAAACTAAAAAAAACTGCCTGTAAATGGAACCCAATGTGTTGTATTGACTCATTCTTTCTTCTCTGAAGTACCAGTGAATAAAAGTAACTGGAATAATCAAATGTGATTTTACTTATTTGTATCTGACAATTTTATACATTTCTTGAAATTGTTCTCTATTGTTAATGCAACAGTTCTGGTCTTGCACCTGCAGCTGCAATTTCATTGAGTGTTTTCTATCTGTGTGGTGGTGTGTTTAAATAAGGGAATATATATTTCTTTGACAAAAGGTATTTATAGATAAAATGTACCCCATAATATATTTTTAGAACTACAAAAATGAAAAAAGTAATGTTGCATTATATGGAATTTAAAACACTTTCAAAGATAAATATGTACTTTGGATACACATTTTTTCTGAGTAAGCTACATGTTTATACCCTACACAGCAAAATAAATCCTGACTGTATCAAACAGAAAAAAAGAGAACATTGCCCATACATATGTAATGATTAGGGATGCTCAGATACCAAGTACCATACTTGGTACAAATGGTACAAATACAAGTACATATACATTTCCACCTCCCAGACTAGACTAGAGAAAAACTCAAAAGTAAGGAGGCAGCTATCATTTTCAAGGAGCCTACAGGACTCCTGGGATTTGTGCATCCCTATTTTAATGTATAATTCGTTTTATGTTTTATATATATATACATATATATATATATTAGGGATGCACCAATTACCATTTTTTCCAGACCAAGTACTAATACTTGTCCAAGTAATAAAGATACCAATTACTGATATATTATTGTTTAGTGTCATGTGGCAGTTTTTCTAAAACAATGCAGACTAATGATTTCAGCACAGTGGAGGAGCCCCAGGGTCCAGTTGCAGTTGCACAGTTGCAACCACTCTCGTGAAAATGCCAAGTATCGGCTCTGGTATCTGAACATCCCTATGATCCTTCTAATTTAACACCTCCAAAAGCATTCACTGCAAGAGAAGCAATGACAAATACAAGACTTAGACATTATCTTTGTTTTAGGATGACATGCTTATGGATTATCACAATTCATATAATATTGATGCATTTGCTTTAGGTGCTATTAGTTTTCCGCAAGATGCCTTAGGCACCAACAGCCGTTTAAAAACCTGTATGTCCCCTAAGTGTTATTAAAAAAGAATTTCACAAAACAGAACCCTTGCAACCCCTTAACTCTTCCTTATCTGGACATTTAACTATCCTGTAAAATAATGCCTTGCTTCTTTAATACTCCCATTATTTAAAATGTATGCTTTGCCTATGCCTATCAACCTATATGCTTTAACACTTAACCTAAACCTAAAGTTTAAACTTCAGCCTAACATTTTACCCCAACTTTTTAATTTAACCTAGCACCTTAAAGTCTATTTCCACCTTTGTAAGTGATTAGCATTTATTGTGGTAATGAAGAGATGAAGTGATGATGTATACATATGCACATTTCATGACACACATTTCAGGCTTTCTTAATTTTTTATGACTGTCAGACTGTAATCAGCTGCCCCTCTCTGAGTCACCCATTGCAACGCGTTTAGTAAACACCAGCTTTGCCTTTACACATAATATACTGCCTGGAGAGGGGGAGGAGGGGGAGAGATATACACACATTTATTACATAGCACAGAGGCAAACATTTCCATGCCGATTATACAAGCAAAGTTAACAAAAAATGTAAGTGCCTGTGTTGATCTGCTGCCTGCTTTATGTACATCCTCTGCAAAGGTGAAAAGGGGCTTTACATGAGCATTTAACACTTAACCTCCCTTAAAATCGGAACCCTAACCTAACCCTAACATAAACCTCTCCATAACCTTAACTCTAGGATTAACTATCACTCTATCCATAACCATGTTAATCCCTCCCTATGTTATTGAGATGAGGAAAGGGGAAGATATTCTGCAGTCCTTAAACAGTTCCTGTCCTATTATGACAATTGTGATCATCTTTAGGTACAGTACAGTGAGAAAGTATGTTTACCCTAGAACAAGAAATGCTTTGTTTGGTGGAAACAAAGCCTAAAAAAATAAAGCTAATTCACCCATCACATCTGGACTGGTAAGCAGCAATATATTCCATTCTTTTCTTGGATTTAGACATGCTTTAACACAACCCCCTGTCTATTCTAAATGCTTAACAAACCCCTTAAAACCAATAGTTCAATCTTAACCTGAAGAAACTGAAAGTAAACCACTAATCACTGGCCTTAAAGATGGCCTAATTCAACACTATACAAACTAACCATCTGAACTACAGTATATTTTGCACATGATGCATGTGTGCTATAACCAAGCAGGTCCCATGCATAAATGGACCTGCTCCTCACTGCAGGTTCTTGAAAGATTAACCTCCCTGGCGGTAATCCCGAGCCTGGCTCGGGGTGAATTTTCAATGCTAGGAGCGGTAACCCCGAGCCAGACTCGGAGCTGCAGAGAAAAGTGACACTCACCTTGTCCCTGTGATACCACGGCATCATCTGCTGTACGCGGCCCGAAAATGAAACTAAAAGCCGGCATCTGACTTTTAGTTTCGTTTTCGGGCGTCACAGCAGGCGGGAAATTCAAAAGTGAAAAGTTGTAATGTACATAGAATACACACAATACAATGTAATCTGCTATGATTACACTTATGTATCAAACTATTTCACTTCAATTTTGTCCCTAGAGCTTTGTCCAGTGCCCTGCCTGACACTTTTTCACAATTATAAGAAATTATAATATAATAAATAATTATAAAAAATTATAATAAAATAATTAAAAAAATGGTCCAGTAAATGGGAATTCTGGGGGCGTTGCCTGATCCGTACCACAGTAAATAAAGTACCAAGTTCGCACATCACTGAGCTCGGTCGCAGAATCCTCGCTGTCCTCACTTTCAGTGTCTGTTGAGGAATTTCCCAACGAATCGCTATCACTCAATTCTGCAAGTAGTTCTAATTTACTATCGCTGTTTTCTACCTGGTCTAAAACCGCTTTTGACCTAAAACAGCGACGATTCTGCGACCGAGCTCAGTGATGTGCGAACTTGGTACTCTATTGACTGTGGTACGGATCAGGCTGCGCCCCCAGAATTCCCATTTACTGGACCATTTTTTTAAATTATTATATTATAATTTTTTATAATTATTTATAATTATTTATTATATTATAATTTCTTATAATTATTTATAATTTATTATATTATAATTTTTTAATTTCGTGTTTCAAACTTTATCATACCTGGGATGTCTACTGGACTCTTGTTTGGACAGATTTAGGTGAGTTATTCCTAAGATTTACTAAGAATTACAGGCCTACAATATAAACAACAAATTTCCATGAAAAAAATTGTACCGCTTTTGGTACAAAATTCCTGACATAATCATACCGCCAGGGAGGTTAATCTATCACAATATATGGGGAAAATGAAACAGTTTTCACATTATATTGTTATATGAGCATGAAATGCCTTAGGCCCTATTAACATTTAGTCATCCATGGTGGGAGGTTAATGGTATATAACAATTTGTTTTTCTCCAGTGTTTGAGTAAATTAGTGTAGTGCATTTCAGGAATTAAAATTAAAATTAAATGTATGATATTCCAAACTAGTATAGAATTATTTTGAAAAAAGTTGCATTGTTCAGTAATAGTATTTGAAGTTTATGTAAAGACTTACCAATATTGTTGTCACAATTAAAGACCGGTTAGAAAGAGAATCTGTTATATTTGCTGGTTTTTCTTTTTGATTATCTGTCATGTTTAAGCCACTAGCAGGATCCCAAGTTCCAATCTATAAGAAAGCATTGTAATAGAACAGGAAAATTAGCATCAAAAGGGTGTACAATGTAAGAACTCCCTAAAAAACAACAATTACTTATCAGAAACAGCAATGCCTGAATTCCATGCTCATGTGTCATTGTGGTTGATTGACTAAAGGAATAGTGAATGTTGACTTTGCAAAGTGCACATTTACTTAAAGTCTGGAGACTTTGATTTCTCCCCTTCCTGTGTTAAAAAAATCCAAATTACTTCCTACCCTCTCCATGCTCCAGCGCTGTCTCCGACTTCCATTTTAGTTTAGTACCAGAAGTCCTCAGAGCAGAAGGACAATCTGCAATTCTGCACATTTTCTCTGAGCCCAGGCTCCTGTGAACCCAGCCTGTCATTTACATGCCCCCCATGGAGGGGGGAAATACATAATTACACAGACTGGGTTCACATTACTCCAGTCACCCATCATTACGTAAGCTCTGCTTAGTGCTAGAAGAATGCCCATTACCCATTGCTGACGAAAAAGGGAGAAGAAGCTGTGATGACATCACCAGACTGAACAAGAAGATGTGAATAAAAACAGAATGTGTAGGGGTTTAAAAAAATAAATCTGGGCAGGGGGCTCCAGAGGGTGGCGTAAAATCCTGGTGTTCTGCTTTAATTTATTGAATAGGGTGTTTCCTCAATCAACTGGTCACATTTTAATTTCCCTTGCACATGTTTCAAATTGAACACAGCTTTACCCTATTTACTATGCTTTCACCTTGCAAGGTAAACATTCTGTACTCTTTTAGTAAATCCCACCCACAGTCATATTATGAAATCCATCATAGAAACAACATTTTTCACTGATCTAGCTTTTCCTGTTCTAAAAAGAGATGCAATATAAATAATATGTTTTAGGCCCAACTACCATCCTAGTCATTCAGACAGCAACTGATAAACTTAGTTGAAGCCTAGCATTCAGTTGAGGGGATTGTCACTGTAATGCAAAAACATTACAAAGAAAAAGAAACCCATAGGAAAGCTAATTAATTACAAAACACATAGCTGTTACTTAAGATTACTGAAGATGTATAAAGATAGTGGGGTCTATTCACGAAGCTGCCGAAGGATCTGGCCGTAGCTTCGGCCGATCCTTCGGCTAGCTTCGGCCCCAGGACCCCTTCGGTTCAGTAGAACCGAAGGGGTGCTGTACGGGCTATTCACAATAGCCCGTACAGCTCCCGATCATGGCCGAGCGGCTAAGCCGACCCGAACGCATATGCATCGGCTCGGCTGAGCCGTGCTGAAAGCTGAAGCTGACCAAGCTTTATTTTAGACCAATATAAGTTCAGATAAATGAAACTATTCTAAGTGATTTTTGCCATACATTTATATAGATATAGCAAAGGTCAAATCAGCTCCCACAGTTTATATCAGAATATTTCTTCCTAAAGTAGTAGCATTTTCCCACCATAATGTAATAAATACAGATAAATAAGTTAAAATGGTATAATTCATAGATATGTATACATCTCATAATATGTACTGAATGAAAATATTTGTACAGCATCAGCAAACTAGTTTGGACCACACAGCAGATAAATGGACAAGCATTATGGCACTGTATTACTTTGAGTGGCACAAGATAGAACTTCAGCAGCATGGGTAATTGGCAGATTAACCTTGGCAACAGTTTTGTTCCAGCCAATTTTTACGACATGTATTTTAATTTCAAAGCAGCCCAGAAAACTGGAAAGATTTAGCAGCACATTTCATTGAAAAACAGATAATCTCCTGGGGGCATAATGCACTTTAAATTCTAGAAAATCCCACTTATAATTAGAATACTGACAGAAACATATTTCTGGCAATGTAATATAAAAAGGGAATCATGTCATATTAAGTGAACGTGACAATGGATATTACTGCACTATACCTATATACTGTATATATCAATATATCTATCGTTCTCTATATATAATATATTTATACTGTATGTATACTGTATATATATATATATATATGTGCATATATATATATATATATATAGAGAGAGAGAGAGAGAGAGAGAGAGGGGAGAGAGAGGGGTTTTTAAACGACTTTAGCAAAGGAACAAAGAAGCAGATAAAATATTTAATCCACACTGACCTTTTGGTGGGGCACACCTTCCACAAGGTAAACATCAGTATATAAGTACAGGTATATAGGTATATAAGTTATATAGGCATATAAAGATCAAACACCCTCCCCTTTTTCATCCTCCCACCCTGCAATGTATAGCCCTCACTCCTTGCCACCAACATCACTGTGTGAATATGTGATGAACATCACTTCGTGAACAATGATATGGCTATCCGCATATCCACTCTGGGATACTGAAAGAATGACTTGCAGGGCAAAACAAATGCCAGTCATTAATAATAAATTAAAACCAGCTTCACGGCATTGTTATGGCAACACATGTAGCTGGAGCTGGAGAGCTGATGATATCAGTGCTGCCCAGAAAGCAAGTAAACTCTAAGTGATAAGCAGGGTGAGGTGACATTGAGAGAATGATTAGCCAACGCACATAAACAAAGTGAAGTACAGCACTGAAAAAGCAACAGAGAATAACAGACATGCAAGGGAAACAGTAATAGGTTCACAGTCACACAAAGAACCACTAACATGAATAGAATTAATAAGCCAAGAATAAAAAAATCATGTGAAAAATGAAAGTAGGAACCAAAAACCAGAAATGAAGCAGATGCTTCCTTCATTAAGTCCTTTCTGGGATAAAGTTTATAATGTGACAATCCACTGGCTTTTCTTTTGAAGAAAATAAGATGACGGTCACCACCATCCCAATCAGAAGGGGGGCATGGTCAATATGCATGCTTCTTAAGATAAAGACAGGGTGGCATAATCTTTCAAAATAGCAGGCCACTGTTTAGTCAGATTAACCTGACATCAGTGATTTGTGTTTCTAGTGATTATGTAAGGCTTCACAAAGAGCAGTGATAGCTTTTCCAACATATTGTAGCCTACACTGGCAGCAGAGCAAGATGACATCAAATTCTGTATTACAAGAATGGCAGTGGTGTATGAGTACTTTCTTGAATGTTTGTGGATGAAGGAAAAGGGGGCCAGTCAAAAGGTGATTACAGGTACTACAGCTCAGGCACCTATAGCACCCTAGTTTGGTCTGAGCCAGCCAAGGCCTACAAGCATGGGGGGAAAAAAGATCTACTTTAACCAGAAGATTACTGCCCCTATGATAACTACTAACCTATAAGAGGAGTTGAGTTTATGAATTTCAGAGACTGATTTACTGTACATTCACCATCCAACTTGTTTAAATCACCTTACTGATGGATAGAGTGTAAGTAGAGATTAAGAACAGGTAATCATCCAAAGATTTACCTGGTTTGAGAGAAAGCGCTTTTTTATGAGTTATATGTGTTCCTATCTGCTGGTGATTATTTAGAAGATCTCTGGGATAGCTCCTTCGAATGATACATTGCATCATTTCATCAAAGAAGTATCACCAGCAGTTGAATATCCTTTTAAAATTCCCCTGTGGTACTCAGGGGTCCCATTCAAATCCGTGGAGTGGACCTAAAGGATGGCAATGGACTATATTGTTGCACCGTCATTTGTTAATATCTTTGGGTATCAGTTTGAACAAACCATTCTCTTTCTGGAATTAGGGCATGATTTTCTATTGTTCAAATTATATATTGCCAATTTTCTCTTGACCTGGCTTGGTACGGTTGTTTAGATGACCATCATCAATCAGGTTAACTGCCTAAACACTCCTATTCACTTTACCCTTTCTCAGTTTGAAATTCCCTTCCTTGATTAAAATATATACAAGAAAGTTTCACCAGAGGGTCTTTACCTTGCCACCAATCTGTATCAAAAAGAAACTGAGTGCACCGGGAGTGCCCATCCTCTATTCCATTATTAAAGGCATTACAATCACCAAAATGCTTAAGCTTAAAATAGTCAAGTCCTATAACACTTCTGTGAGTGTGCAATGTCACAGCTTTATGAAATGATACAATGGGGTTGATTTACTAACCTTATAAACATGCCACGAACAAGTATACACCTCTGTAGTGTGTTCCCTCCCAGCATGATCTATTGGTGAAATCTAGACACCTTTGTAGTGTGTACACACCCAGCAGGTGCGTTGTGCAAAGCCCTGCATGAATTGCAAGGGGATGTTGTGTAAATTAGCTCTACATTGTGTTGCTTGCGTTGATGAATGCAGGAATGTAAATGCATGAGCTAACCATTTTTGTCTAAACTGTGAAGCAGCATTATATATGCATCATGTGCATGATTTTTCCATATATGGCATTAGTGGAAATATGCTTTTAGAGACTTGCATGCCGCTATTAGAGCGGCGTGTAGCCTATGGCGCATGCTACATGATGTGCACGTACGTAAATACATAAAAACGCACCATAATGGCGTGAAAATGTGACACGTTGCTCGTGTTTGGTTGATAAATATGTTTTGCTGTGTAAAAATGCACACGCACCTGGTGCGTGTGTGTGTTTAGGTTAGTAAATCACCCCCAATGTTTCATTCAAATGGGCTATCCCAGAGATCTTTAGAAAAACACCTACAAAAAGTAACACATATCATTTAAGAAGCTCTTGCTTCCAAGAAACACAAACCTCTGGATGTTGGCCAGTTCTGTACCTCTAATTTCACCAATATGAGCCAAAATCTGTAAGGTGATTTAAACAAGTTGGCTAGTGATATCCAATGACCAATTACTGAGATTCGCAAATTGGGTTACCATAGGTTCAGAATTTTTGGGAACTTCCACACACAGACAATACTTTGGTGCCTGTCAGAGACCTGCGGCTTCTGCGCATGCGCCAAGCCGGGGTTCTTGTAATGGGCCTGTGCGCATTCGCGCGCCAAGGACTGTCCACGGAAGACCGCTCTCCAAAAGGCTCACAGGAAGTGACACTCTCCAAAAGACTCACAGGAAGTGATGCTATCCAAAAGGCTGACAGGAAGTGACACTCTCCAAAAGACTCACTGGAAGTGATGCTATCCAAAAGGCTCACAGGAAGTGATGCTATCCAAAAGGCTCACAGGAACTGATGCTATCCAAATCATTTCCTTCACTATTTAAACCCAGACTCCCCACCTACTCATTGCTGGATTGTCTCTTCAACCGCCCTGACGTCTCCTGATCCTTGTTTCCAGTACCATTGATTATCGACCCGGATTGACTTTGACCTTGTTTGCCTGCAGCCTGCCTTTGACCTCGGAACGTTTGACCATTCTTGTTTGCCTATACCCTTGACCTTGGATTGCTTCACTGGACTGCCTGCGCCTTCTCCTTTTGTACTTGCTCTGCCTGCTCGGTGTGACCTCGGCCTGTTGACCTCGGATATCAAAATTTACAAGACCCTGCAGCAAAACCAAGTAGTGGCCTGCACGGTCGAACCGCCTCTGGCCCTCCTGCCACTCACTGTTTATAAGGACTCTGTCCCCAATACCAGTGTCCCTAGGACACGAGCTGCAAGAGAAGCCTCCTCCTACATCCAGTCTCCGCACAGGTACGTGATAGTGCCTTAGACCAAAGTAGGGTGCTATAGGTGCCTGAACTGTAGTAACTGTAACTGCCACCTCGTTTCCTGTAATACAGAATTTGTTTTCTACTTGCTCTGCTACTAGCGTCCTGTGGGCTATATTACATTGGAAAAATCCTCACCACTCTTTATGAATGCATTCATAATTGCAAGACTGTGATACACAAAGTGCTCATGTCAAGTACATCTGACCAACTATTGGCCCACCATTTTACCAATGTATGCCACCTTGTCCCTAGGCTAAGATGCATGCTTACTGACCATGTCCCCCTGTGATGGCGGAGGTGGATCTCATCATCTGTTGCTTGAAAAGAAATGTCCAAGGATCTACACATTATAGACTTTAACTACCAAAAGGCCTTAAACAACTCTCCTTTGCTTTGTTCTTGTAATACTACTGCCATTGCACACTCACATGTAGGAGATGCGGCACATAGGGTTATAGTTAATTTGAGGGTATATAACCTCATTTAGGGGTTCTCCCTGCTTAGACCCCCATCCTGATGGTCACCCCTAGACTTACTTAATGCCCTTGTATGGCTGTGGTGTTTCCCAGTTACTTCAATATTTGTCATTACAGTATTTTATTTATTTTATTTTAATAGGTATATGTATTTTGCACCTTTTTTATGTTTTGTATACTTTTTCCTGGCTGATGCCACAGCTGTAGGTTATTCCTCTTTCTCTGTGTTGTACTTTTTATTGTTTGCTATCAGGTGTGTTTACATTGTTTCACATTTGTTTTCCTGTGTTGGTTGTGCTTTAATTTTTTTTCTGTTCTGTCCCCCTGCATTCATTATACACTTCTTAGTTTAATAATGTATTCATGATAGTGGTTCTCTGATTGGCAGTGAACCTATTGCTGTTTACCTTATGTGTCTGTTATTCTCTGTTTTGTTTTCAATCTGTGTTTATACGTATTGGCTGATCATCCTTTTAATGCTGCCCTACTCTGATTTTCATCCAGAGTTTACTTAGTTGCCTGTAAGCAGTGACATCACTGGACCCACATTCACTCCACAACTTTGCCTAAAGGTGTTGCCCTAACAACACTATAAAGTGGTTTTCATGGATTACTAACTGATGAGGCTAATTTTGTCCTTGAAGCCATTATTTCAGTACCTCTGAGAAGGTATGTGGTTATTTACATAATTGATCTGTTCACACAGTAGATTTGCTGACACAGGGTTAGGGGCTATACACAGTGTACGGTGGGTGATAAGCTAGGGGAGGGGTTTTGGGCTTTTACTACCGTTAACATTGTGCTGATGTCTACCTTGAGAAATGTGGGCTGTGCCCTGCCAAAATGTCAGTATGGATTAACAATTTTATTTGCGACTTTGCTCCTTTGCTGAAGTCTTTAAGTGCCAGAGTTTCTGCATCTCTGAGTGCCCCAAGGCAATTAACATTATCAATATCTGTTCTTCATTAGCAGATGGTCTTTGCTGTAACATTCACCATATTTTAAACAAAGTGAGTATTACCTTCACCTGAAAAGCCCTCATCCTGTTTGTAAATAATTTAAATCTACTAAAAATTAAATAATTGTCTATGGAGAGTGCTGAATTAAAACAGGCTCAGCACTTCCAGGATTAATTGGATTTTTTTTAATGTAGACAAAGAGGGTTATTCACAAAAGGGTCAAGATTTTGGAGAAGGCAGGAGAAGTGAACACTCTAGGACAACATAGCTGAAATGCAAAGTGAGCTGAATTGGAGAACTTTTCCAAATCAGCTATTTTTGCCTAAATTGTTCTTCTCCTGCCTTCGCCAAACTCTTCACTCTTTTGTGAATAGCCCTGAAAATCTTTATATGTTTACACTTTATACATAGAATATATACCTATGTTCAAGTGGGTGGACTGTTTGTCATATGTTGGCCATGACCGACTGCATTGCAAGGTAAGAAGTCATGAATGGACCTCAGCATTCAGACGTATTGCTTTTTTTTGCACGTCTATGGGTATGCAAAATCTGCCTTAAGCATGCTTAAAAAGAATACGTGAGACGAAGCTTATCTTTATTAAAAAAACATTTAGAAATAGTTTGGAGTGCCTACCAACATAAGAGGCAACACGCCAAGATCCTTGCACAGGATGGTTTATTATGGGTGACCACATCACTCTAACCAGTGCTGCCTTTGGACACGTTTCAGTGATCTATGATTAAGCGTTTTCAAAATGATTTAATTGTGCATCCTCTTTTGCTTGTTCTGAAGATATATACAGTAATAGACATGTAACTGCCACTTTATGTGTGTTATATTCACTAAAGGAATTGTTCAGCAAACTGAATGTTCACTGGGCTTAGTGAATTAGGTGTTTTCACTTCGACAAACCAATCATAATCTAGCAAAAATTTTGTTTTTTTTAATTTCCCATGTGATTGGGTATCTGCAAGCCTCTACAACTCTATTAAATCAACACCAGTATAAGCAAATCATTTTAATAGAAGTCCACTTTTGCTTTAGCTTTCAAAATACATCATATTATTCAGGTGCATAATGAATCAGATGCAATTACCTAGCAAATATTGTACAGGGAATATGAAGCTTTTTAATTTACCTTCAGCAGTTTACTAGTTTTGTTTCTTTAAAACACTCCTGGGCATGGTCATTAGCAGTTTATTGTATTGCTAATAGTTTAAATTCAATTTAATATCTCAGGACGAAGCAAACTATAAACAACCACTACATCAAAGCAAGTCTCATCAGATTGCTTTTCAATATTTGTTCAAAACCTGATGCATAGGTTAAAACATATTAAGTACCTTTTCAAGGCCTTCTTCCTTGAGACTGATCACATCTAAATCAAAGTCAGTCCGTAAGCCATTGGTTTTATTGAAAGTTATCCTGCCTGTGAGGCCTTCCCAGTGAGCCTAAGGTAGAAAAATACAATTTGCATAAGTAAGGTACATAAAAGAGATCATATTAATGTTTGCAAAAATGAAAAGATAAAATATTCAACACATTTAAGTCTACCTTGTGGCTGGTTTTGTTTTGTCAGAATGCTTGTAAGAGTTTTTACATATTTTGAAACTGCAATTAAAGGATATCTTAATGCTATGCAGCCTGTAAATGGCACTGAATTATAAACTGTTATAGGTGGCTGACTTCACCAAACACCTGATCTGCTATAAATATTTAAACGAACTGCTCTTGGAATGATTCATTTCAATTTGCAATAGCCAATAGTAAACTAGCATTGCACCCGCCCTCTGCTGCAGTTCTCCATCAAGTCCATCAGCAGCGGGCGGGTGCAATGCTAGTTTACTATTGGCTATTGCAAATTGAAATAGCCAATAGGAATCTAGCAATGCATTCCTATGGGCAAAATTATAATTTTTTTCTATTTTGACACGGCTCCGTGTCAGAATAAAGAAAAAAAAAGAAAAAGTGTTTCTCTCTTGGGCGGCCGGGAGCGGGAGACTTTTTTTTTCTTTTTTTTTGACGGCAGCAGAACCGCCGGCCAATAGAAAACTGTTGGGAGGAGCTAGCTGTCATTGCTAGCTCCGCACAATCGTTTTCTATTTATTTTTTTGTACTTTTGAAACTATTTTTCTGTTCTGCTTGGTCCCTCAGAGGGACCGAGCAGAACAGCCGAGCCGAATGCCGCTCAGCTGTACCAGCCGTACCAGCCTGAAGTGAATAGCCGAACAGCGTTCGGCTCACTTCGCTTTAGGTCGGTCATTCACTCGGCTGCCTACGGCAGCTTAGTGAATAGACCTCTAAGTGTTTTTTTGTAGTTTGGAATAAAGTTAAAAATGAAAAAAGTAAACAGTGAGATGCAATATAACAATGCATTGCACCACACCTGTACAACACAAACCAGGGTGCATTTATTAGATGGAGCATAATGCATGCAGGCTAGTGTAAATGGGCCCTAATAGCTTGTATGAAATTTATGTAATTGGGTTTAGATCCACAATAGGAAAAGCAGAAAAATAGATGGCAGTTCACCTGCCAGAGAGAAAAATTGAAGAGATGCTTAACTGGAATAGTGGCAATGTACTGGAATAGAAATTTAGCTCTCTGCATGTGTGAATGACAGTCACAGAAGATTTGTTTTAAATGTTGTCATATTTCTGAAATTATAAAGGAGTAATATGAATACATCATATATCTGATCTAGATACTGATAGTACTGAATGGAGCTTTTATTGAGAATAAAAGTGGATTGACAAATCAAGCAGTACTATTTCAAGCATAAATATGATTCATTATTCTTTGAATGGTTGATCAAGTTAACATATAACTGCCTGTTTTAGCACTGAAATTGTTTAGCAAGTGTTTACATGTGCAGTATTGTTTAAAGTTTTAGTTCTATAATTACCAAACCAGTTCATACATACATTCATGCATACATTTTATGTATGCATCTTTGATAAAAACAAAAACTTACCTCTTTAATGAGGTTGATAAACCGAGAACCAAATCGCCAAGGTTTATGCCGATTACATTGTAATGAGCTGACTGTCATTTGTGGAAACTGCTGTACTGCTACGGAAACCACATGGACGGCATCATACATGAGGGCTGCATCCGTCTGAAATGCACAATTATGACATGTTGAAACTTTCCATTCAAAAAGCATTGTCATAGCAACGATCACTTTTTGCCCCCCTTCCCAAACGAATTAATAAAACCTAAATTTTCCCATCATTATTGCCATTGTTGTTATTCAATAATTGAACCAGCAGCGGGACATCCATGTGGCTGCTCTAGGACTACAGACAATAAATGCTTAGAAATTATTTCATCATTGCCTTCCTGGGTCTGAATAAGAAGCAGTCACACTTTAACGAGTATACAATATATATATTGCTTATCAGCAATTGGGTATTCATAGTAAATACTAAGCTTGTTCACTAACCTTATTTACCAAGCTAAATAAACATTAACTACTAAGTGGTAGTGGCTTCAGTGGGGCTTCATTTAAGTAGAGTAGAGAATATTCATTATTCAGTAAACATCCTAAGTATGGACACTATAGAATATGCCTTTCTTTTAGGAATAGATATAAAAGTGTATAAATACACTTCAGCAATCAAAAAAAGAAACACAACCTCATCTGCCACTAATATATGCATTATAAAACATTATTCCAGGAGTACTGATTTAAAGTAACACTAAATTTAGGAGTTACATCTTAAAAATGCATTTAAAGTACCTTAACTATTAACAATATTGTACCTTATTTGTGCATCACTCAGCTGTAGATTCTCAAATCATCTGGGAATTCCTTTGACACTGTTGTTCCTTCAGCTGGGTCACTACTTTTGTTCCCCCATGGTCCCTGTGTGTGTTGTAAAGTAGCTACTGCTCCAAGCTCACACACGCGATGGACTTCAATATAACATTTTGTTTACTAATTTGCTTGGAGCTGTGGCCACTTTACAACACACATACAGGGACCATGGGGAACGAATGTAGGCACCCTCCAGAAGGAAGGATGGTGTCAGCAGGAATTAAGAGATGATTTGAGGATCTACAGCCGAGTGATGCACGAATAAGGTACAATATTGTTAATAGTTAAGGTACTTGAATGCATTTTTAAGATTTAAATCCTGAGTATAGTGTCACTTTAAGTTTATATTATTACTACTGCCCTTCTAGTAAAATGAACAGTGTACATAGGGATACAGGATTCATTGACAAGCTTCAATTAGGGAATTTCCTGTGCACCTGTAACCACTGCCCACTGCAAGTCTGGACACAACACAGTCTTGACATGTACACACTAATTCAAAGTGTGGGCTGCTATTGACAGCTTGCACCCATCTACTAGGTGTGTTCAGGGGCGTATCTGCCGCGAGGCAAACAAGGCGTTTGCCTCGGGCGGCAGATTCTGGCAGGGCGGCGAATGTACCGGCCCGCGAGCCGGTACTTTGTGGCCGACAGCCAGCTCACAAGTCAGGTAAGCGGTCGACGACCGCGTACCTGACTTGCGGGAACAGCTACACGGTCTGCATCTCTGTCGGATGCAGACCCTGTAGCTGAGTCTGCACCGGCACCCGGATCCTTTCGGCCAGCGCTCTTTCAGTGAACGCTGGCCGAAATGATTGTGCAGGATCGATTGATGAGGTCTGCAGCAGCCCTCATCAATCAATCGCCGACAGACCGGGATAGACGTGCCGCCTTGCAGCCTCCTCCCAGCCTTCTCCCTGCATGCGTTTACAAGTGGCAGCTGTCACCTAAGTTAATGATCAGGTGACAGCAGTTGCATTTAAACGCCTGCACACTGCATGTAATGATACGGGATATTATTACATTCGGTTAGGAATCAATCACTCTCCCTGGACACAATGATTGTGCATTCAGGGAGAGTGTTTTCTAACCGCATGTAATCATATCACATTCCATTACATGCGGTGTGCAGGTGTTTACATGGAGCTGCTGTCAATAGTTGACAACTGCCACTTGTAAACGCCTGATGCAGTAAAACGCAAGTTTCTGATGCAGGAATCCCTAATCGCACCTAAACCTACAGATATGAATAGGACCTTATTGTGAGTTTATATCAGTGTCTGTAGTACCAAACTGGATACAGTTATATTATATTTTAAAGTATGAAATTTGGCAAGCGGCCCCAAGAGAGAAAAAAATTGTCGAGTGGCCCCTGAGACAGAAGAGGCAGGGGTGAAGACGGAGCTCCAGTTGGGCGGCGAAGATTGTGGGGTAAATTTAGTGTATGGGGGGGGGCGCCCGAGTTTTGTCTTGCCTAGGGCAGCCCCAAACCTAAATACACCACTGGGTGTGTTTATGCAAAAACATGCCAGCACTGGAGAAAACAACACTGGAGAAGGACAGGGCAATGGTTTTAAGGTTACAAATTTACTCTGGTTAGATCCTCATACTTAGGTTGATATTTGCTGATTATTTAAACATATAAAATGAACAGCAGCTTTGTTTTAAAGTATTTCTTTGTGTTAAAGTGTTTAAAACACTGCAGATTGCATTGCCTTACTATCAGCTTATTTTCTTTTTTGAAAACATAAATTACTTATACCTTTTTCACACAGCTGCACAGGCTCTGTTCTCTCCTCTCTTCACATAGCTGGGGAGTGTGTACAGATAGTAGGTGGGTAGCGTGTCACATTACACACATCAGGGAAGTATGCTCCCCATCTGTGTGCTCTGAAGATTTCACAGTGAGGCTCTTACTGGAACCAGCTGTCAATCATCCCAGCAGTGTTGGGTGGCATGGATAGCCTAGCAGCAATCCCAGGGATGCAAACTGACCACACCAGCATGGATCTGCTTCAATACTTGGCATTTTGGCACAGGGACCAATGGGATTGGCAGGATCCCCAGGTATTTATCAGCATCAAACAAAATAAAAAAAAATACAGACTGTATTTACCAAGACCTAAGCCCAACATAAATATTTAAACAGTTCTAGGCTATTAAAAGCCAATTTTTTTTTCTTTGTGTGTGTGTTTTTCACATAAAACTATTGAAAAATCTAAGGATAATAGCAGCAAAACAATGTTTTTCTACCTAGAATATATTATGGGTCACATTTTATAGTGCAAATTTGCAAACAGCTTTGAATTCCATTACTAATCAAAGTTGCAGTAGTATGGAACAATCTCAGGTCATTGTTGTGTTCTGGAATTGACAGAGTTATTATATATATATGCAGTAGAACCGAAGGGCTGCTGTATGGGCTATTCACTGTAGCCCGTACAGCTCCCAAACTTGGCCGAGTGGCTCAGTCGAGCCGAAGGCATATGCCTCGGCTCGGCCGAGCGGCTTGCTATTGGCCGGTCGAAAGCCTGCTTCTGACAGCTGGGCGGAGCCAGCCGTGATCTTACGGCTGGCTCCGGCCACTTGCAGAGAGATCAGCGTCCCTGGTTACCAGCTAACCAGGGACACTGATCTCCAGAGAGCAAACTCTCCCGGGCGCTCCGGGAGTCTCCCGCTCCCGGCCACCAAGGAGAGAAACACTGCTTTTTCTTTTTTTCTTTATTCTGACATGGAGCCGTGTCAGAATAAAAAAAGAAATAACAAATTTTGGCCATAGGAATGCATTGCTATATTCCTATTGGCTATTTCAATTTGCAATAGCCAATAGCAAATTAGCATTGCACCCGCCCTCTGCTGCAGTTTTCCATCATGTCCCCACTACTGGTTGACAGCAGCAGAGGGCGGGTACAATAGCTAGTTTGCTATTGGCTATTGCAAATTGAAATATCCAATAGGAATCTAGCAATGCATTCCCATGGCCAAATTTAATTTTTTTCTATTCTGACACGGCTCCGTGTCAGAATAAAGAAAAAGCAGTGTTTCTCTCCTTGGCCGCCGGGGTGCGCATGCACACAGGCCCATTACGGGAACCCCGGCTTGGCGCGTGCGCAGAAGCAGCAGGTCTCTGACATTGACATACGGTGGTGAAAACGGTGGTTGAACTCTCATGTCGGTGGTGGGAACCCAGACACATGTCTTTATATATCCTGTGCACTTTATATACTCGAAAGTAGATCTAACAACTTTGTGGATTCATGTTAATTGAATGCATCATTATTATTTTTTTGTTAGGGTAGGTCATACTCCCCTGAAGAAGCCAATTTGCGAAACGTGTAGGGAATGGACTTATAGATTATATTGATTTATTTTAAAACCTTATTTTGAATAAAGTGGTGAAAAGTTTTTTTATTGCCATCTCTGTGCTCACTGTATAAATCACCCTTTCTGTTTCCCTGGTGACCAATGTTACAGAGAAAGAAAAGTATGGGAAATCCAAAATTTTACAGCTGTCACCAACCATATATATTGGGGAAATTCACCAAACTTAGAAACAATTTGGCTATACATAGACTTTAATGAATAAGGTAATTAGGTAAATCTGTGTTCACTTCAGTTATTCAATCACATGCAAGCAAAAATCCTGTTTTTTCTTGAACTTTCCTTCTCAGTGATTGGGGATTTTAAGAAAAAATGTTTTTGGTCTATTTAGTAAGCCCTTCACCTTTCAAAGTGTGTCTGCCTGGGTAAAATGGACAGCAGTGAGTTTCTCTTGAAGACCTTAGTGCTGAGCAGAGACTGCAGTGTTAAACTGTCCTAGCATTTTTTTTACATTGCTTAATGAAGGGAGTTGTGTTTGTGTGGGGGGAGGGGGGAAGATTATTGTGGAGGAGTGCCTAAGATGGGATGTAGCAGGGGTCAGGGACAAAAGTTGCCCTGAAATGGGATTTCAAAAATATCTAGCATCTGACTGGTGATAACTGTAAGGTTCTATACATTTGTTTAATGTGGAGATAATAAAATGATTCATGTGACAAAACACTTATTCATGAGTAATACATATTTTTAATAGTGTAAAAATGATTTAATGTGAAAAGCAATGACTACAGTTTTTGATGAATAAAATTATCACAAGATAGGTAATTAATGCAGTCAAAGTGAATTCACCTTATGGCAATTCTGAGTTCCCAATTAACCCCATTCAGCTCTTCAGATGTGTCTAGTATATCCAGGCTTCAAGAGTTTAAAGAACAACTCTGTGCAAATACCTGAAAGGGTTAACTTCTCATTTTGGTCTAA